CTTTAAGTTTCCTTTTTTTTTTATTGGGGAATTAGGGAAGGGGACCCTTTTCTTTTTTTTTATTGGGGAATTGGGGAAGGGGACCAGCCAAGTTGTTCTTCAATCTTCATTGTGGGAGGCGCCAGTCGCCATCAGGCTGCCCATCTGCAGCTTGTGGCCTCTAAACTCAAGGTGCTGTGTTCAATCTTAGTTGAGGGTGGGTGTAGTCACTATCCCATGTGGGAGTCAAACGAGCAGCCTTGTTGTTAAGAGCGTGCGCTCTATCCACTGAGCCATCCGGGCGGCAGCTCAGCTCAAGGTGCCGAATTCAGTTTTAGTTGCGGGTGGGTATAGCCCACAATCGAACAGGCAATCTTCTTGTTACACCAGCTGAGCCATCCTGCCACGTGCTGGCATCTCAGCTACAGCTTAGCGCGGGTGTAGCATCATTGGCTCATGTGGGAATCGAATCGGTGGCCCTGTTGCTCAGAGCTCACACTGTTAAGCCAACTCTTTACCAACTGAGCCACTTGGCCAGCCCCAAAAAGCTCACTTTCTTAACCTGTGTGGCACATTTGAGAGGAATGTGGTGTTCTGAAGGGAGAGGCTGCAAGTCACTCTGCCCAGCAGCTGAGGGAGAGGACGGTCAGTTTGTGAGACTGGTCTCTGCAGATGGCCTTCAGGCTCTGAGTCGAGATGTTTTTTCTTTGAGGAGCTTTCCTCTAATGATGTATGTGTCAGGGTGTTCACTGCAGCACTGTTTTGTAAAAAGTGCGATGCACAGATCCCCAATATGGGTGTCCTGTGGCTGTGTCAGTGACCATGGGACCTTGGAGGCTTGCAACTACCACTATGGGGGCAAGGAGACAAGTGTGAGGACCTCAAAGTGGAACAATATATTTGTAAATATCTAAAAAAATAAACGTTACACAAGAACCAGTTAATTGTACAAATATATAGCTCATGTACTACATTTTCTAGCACCCAATGTAACTTGTAAGGATTTCAGTGGCAATGAAACCTATTTTACTGGAAATGAATTTGCTTTTCTCAAGCCTGTCATCGTGTCAGAGTGTAAATGGCTATTCATACAAGGTGGTGGCTGCACTGTCTTTTGCTTGGATGGCTGGGAGCTGATTTTATCTTGGAAACTCGGCCTTGAGTTTACTGAAGTTTTGCACTGTAGGGTTTTGTGGAATAAGGAGCTTGACTGATGTATTTTCCGTGCAGAATGCTGGGCCTTCAGACAGAAGTAGTTACATTATAGGTTATTATGTAAGACTTACATTATAGGTTATGTAGATGTAAGACTAACAAAACATTGAGAAAAACAGCTATGTCCATAATAAATATTTTTGTTTCTTTTTTTAAAAAGATTTTTATTGGGGAATTAGGGAAGGCTTTAAAAAGAAATTCTAACAGGGTTGGTATGAGTTAATTCTTCTAAAGTGCTGGTAACAATTATGAGGTCAGACCTCCAGTCCTACTTTGTGGCCTTTGAGTCAAGGGCAGATCTCAGTTCCCAGGTCACAGCATACCTGGGAGGGACTTTTCCCCAATCAGAAGAATGCTACCCAAGACAACCTGTGTCCATGTTGGAAGACACAGAGCTGGCTTGTGTGGTGGGAACATGGTATCCCAGGGAAGAGAGGGCTAATATCCAGATTCATGTAGCTCAGGGTGACATGTAGTTCACACCATCCAGCACTAACGCTCCAGCCCTGGAGAAACGCCCTGTGCCCTAGCCAGAGGTTCCCACTCTCCATTAAAGGATTCTTGTAGGAAGACAGACGGCTTGAGGAAGTAAGATGGGGCACATGGACTGATTGGCCGCACTGAGCACTGAGGCTCTGTTGCTGCTGGTTACAGCCCTGTCCTCACCCACTCTGCCAAATGCCTATCTACATTCATGGCTATGAGAACTCAAGTCACTGAGGAAGGAAAATGGGGGGTGCAGGGAGGCATGGCATCTGCCTTCTCCCTGGGCCTCTGGGATTAGGTCTGGGCCCCAGTGGCTATGGAATTGATGGGATTTTGTTGAGAAACTGGGAATTCTAAAGGGGTTAGTGATTCCAAAGGTGTTTGGGTGTGGCCTAGAGTAGTGGGTGGGCCTCTGCAGTGACACCACTGCCATCCTGGGGGAAATTTCAGAGCACCAGGAAGGAGACAGCACTGTGGCCTGATCAGTGGCTTTCTCAGGAGAACTGGGAAGATGTGGGGTGACAAGGCCTCAGGAATCAACCATGTGGGAAGATACCAATGAGGTTCTGCTAAATGTTTAACTGGTTCTCCAGGGGGAAACTCTCTGATTCGTAGCACTTGCCAATTTCCATGGTGTAAATATGCCCACCATGGCTGATTTCAAAGTACCCCACATAAACCCCTAAACGCGGAGTTGGGAAGAGATACAGTCAGCTCTCCCTGGGAAAGGCCAGTTAAGAAAGTGAGAGACCAAGAAGAGCACTGAGAAAGGGCCAGAAAGCCAGAGGAGTCCTCTCATAGCTAAGCATAAACTCACAGAGGCACATGGCCTGAAAACCTTTCGAGTCCCATCCATCACCATACATTTGGTGTCTAATTATTCACTTTGGAAACACTTGGCTGTGCCTACCTGGGGTGAAGCAGTGTCACCTGAGGCTCTCAATGATCTCCTGGGTGCCTGTCTGCATAGGACTGTGGTGTTCATGTACGCTGGGGCGGGGGTTCTCAGGGCCTGTCCTCTATGAGGACCCAAACTTGCCTCAGAGATGCCCCTGAAGCCCCGTCTAGAGCTAGGTAGAGACCCAGGAGAGCTGGATCTCCAACGAGTGGGTCCCTATATCCTAAGGGGAGGTAANATGGGCCAGTGAAGCAACGTCCTCCACAACTAGACTGAAGAACAAAAGGACAGCAACTTGTCTGTTCCCCTCCCCCAATTCCCCAATAAAAATCTAATAAATAAATAAATAAAAATTTATATATGCCCAAGCAATCACAGAAACAAAGCACATGTACAGGAAAAACAGATTTATTACATCAAGGTGGTAATAATCTTTTCTTTCTTCTCTCAATGTGGTTACAATAAATATTTTTAAAGTATTGTTTTCTATGTTTAATTTACTTCTTCCTTGACCACAGCAGTATTTCCATCAGTACTCATGGGAAGAAAGACGGAAATGAAGACGAGGGACTCCAGAACCTCAATTTCACAGTATACTCAATAAAGGAAAAAAGCTACCGTCCCCAAAACATTGGCGAGTCAATAGTTTCCAATCCTTTATGAAAACACACAGTGTGTAAACAAAGAACTACAAAGAATGGTTCTCCAGGTAGGCAGTAAAAAGGGAGAGGAAAATACTTTTCCATCTGGAAGCAAATCACTGAATGACAGAATACAGTTCACCGTCCTCCTAGAGGGCTCGTTTCAAATGACTACTCTTCAACTTCCTGTTTTGTCTCTCATTGTCACTGCTTTTCCTAAGCTTCTAACTCCTAAATATCAAACTAGTTTTCTTTCTGTTTAGGAGGCAGGAAAAGAGAGATGACTTTTACTTTTTTTAAAAAAGCACACGTTCTCATAAAATCTTTGCCCATGTTTTCTGACACTGGGTAAAATAGATTTGGAAACAACTTTGAAACTCCAGCTGAAAGAAGGTAACTTACTCTTATCCTGGAACCAGGTAAACAGTGACCCACCTCTGGAATAAAAAGGAAACACACAGCCAGTGGCTTAACAGAGCCCATCACCGTGGCCGTGACCCTGCGCTTGGCTGCTGGGGCTGACACTCACTGGAGTCTACCATCTGACACAGTCACTTGATTGCAATTTATGAGCTGCCAGTGTTTACTTGTGAGACTGTCTGGAAGCTGGAAAGGAAGATAAATACACCAAAGTCCAGCTGAGCAACTGATAGGTTTTGTATTGTATTTCCAGGAAATAATATCTTGTTTTCACAAAGAGGTAATGCCATCCTCTCAAATAGAGGCTGCTTTAGCTTCAGGGGCAGCCATAGGACTACATCAAAGCTGTCCCAAACAAATGTCAACAGAGGTGCTTCTGAGGTATCAAAACAACAACAAAAATAACAAACTTTAAAAACAGAACTATGTAACCCATTCAACATGTAGTGAAGCAGAGTCTCGTAAGTACACTGCAGTAGTCGGTGTGGTGAGTACCGGTGGTGCTTCGGACAATGATGGCGCCAAGGCTGGCGAACGTGGAAGGCTCACAATGGAAGACTTCCTAACTCAGTTTCCGGCCCACGTGGCTCTCCCACGCGCTGTCTCACAGTGGCCCAGGACCAGGCCACAGACAAATCTTCCAGGCCACCCCAGGCTCCCTGGGATGTCTTTTAAACGCCCTTGGAGCACGGTCTTCAGGAGTGTCTCTTTGCTTTGGAGAGAAAGAAGAGAGAAATAAAAAGGAGCCTGCATGGCGCTTCCCTGGCCTCCCTATGCCGCTCTCAGTCTCTTCCCCACAGCAGGTGCAGTGAAGAGAGAACAGAGGTCAGGCCATGTGGCTCCGCTCAAACGCTGCTCTTCACTCCTCCCAGAGTAAGTCAAAGCCAAGGTCCTTCAAAGGCCCAAGCCCTACCTCCTGGCCTCACCTACTCTCCCCTCACTCACTCCACTCGAGCCACACTGGCCTCTTTGCTCTTCCTCCAACACCCCAAGCAGCTCCCCCTTCCTAGCACCTCTGCATGGGACACTTCTGTCAGATGGCAGCATGGCCGCTGCCTTCAGAGCTTTACTCAAACACTAACTTCTCGGTGATGCCTTCCTTGACTACTCCATCAAAAATTGCCAGTGTTCTCCCCATCACTCCCCGACTGCTTTCTTGCTTTATTTTTCCCCCTAGTTCTAATCACATCTAACATTAGATTTTCACTTCTCCTTCTATTCCTCGCACCTAGAATAGCAACTGGCACAAAGCTAGCCCTCAATAAATACCCGTTGAAGGAAGGTGGGAATGACATGCACAGTGATTGGCAGGGAGAGGTGGGAGTTCCGTCCATGAGTTCCGTCCATGTCTAGAGGGAGGGGGTAGGGGGGGGCTACTGCTGGCCTCCAGTCCTTTCCGATTGCTTCTGCTTCCTTGACCCAGGGAAGCAGGGATCGTGTCCTACACCAAGGGCACAATAAAGGCACCAAGGAAACTCCTCTTCCCTGAGACTGAGGTCTGGGACACTTTGGTCAGAGGGCTGAAAGGATTCAAGTTACTTTCTCCCACTTGTGGGCAGCCTTGGAGGCGGTGGGCCTTGGCGCTGGGCATGCCTTCAGCCTTGGAGAGCTGAGAGAACAAGCGAGGCTCCCTTCCTCTCAGCTAATGGCCTCCCCTAGAAGCTCACAGAAACATGCAGAAGCCACAAGAAAAACTGTCTTGACTCCCCTCAAGCCAATTTCCTTGCCCACCCTCCCACATTATACACTTCTATGAAACAGAGGATGCGTCATCTTTTAAAGACCAATTCCTCCGTCTGTGCTCTGCATTCTCTCCCCTTCCTGCCCTCCTAAGAATTGTTTCCTATCCACTCTCTCGGCTTCCCAGCATCTCCTTCTGGACAGGCTCCTTCCAATCAGCAATTGAACATGCTCAAATATCTCGTGTCTTTAAAAAACAAAACAAAAGTTCCTTTACCTCACTTCCTCCTCCAATTACAGGCTTCTTTTGGTTGTTGCTCCCCACCACCTTAGAGCCAAATTTCTTGAAGAACTCATCTATTCTTACTCTTCTCTTCTCTACTCCCTCACTTATTCTCCAATTTATTGAAAATTGGTTTCTGACCCCACAGTTCCCCAAACTTGCACTAGATAAAGTCATCAATGTCCCACACATGTGCTGCATCCCAAGGGCAACTTTTCATCCTTATGTTCTCGGCAGCATTTCACACGCTGACCCCTCACTTCATAACCACTCAGAAATGTGCGTTTACTGAAGACTTACCACTCTCTAGGCCCTGATAATACCACACAGAATAAGATGAAAAAATACCCTGCCCTCAAGTTTATAAATCAATGGGCAAGAGCACACTAACAAATACAATTTCAACCATGGCAGTGTTTTAAAGAAGTAAGAGATGTCTGGACTGTAATGAGGGACTAACTCAGAGACGGAAGTGGTCGGCAAGGCTCAAAGCCACCATTCTGACGTCTTTGGTTGCCTGTCCCACACTTCCCTCCTTTTCCATCTCTGCCCGCTCCTCATCCTTCTGCCCTGCGTCCTCCTCTTCCACTCCCCACCCCTTCAATGTGGGTGTTTCTCAGGGATAGGGACTTGACCTTTAGCTCTCATCACCCATACAGAGAATCCCCAAATCTAGTATCTTCTGGGCTCCAGGTCCATATATTAAAATACCCATTAAACAGATCCACTGACATCCTCAGTTGCCCTCAGCCTACTTTAGTCTAAAGCTAACTGGTCTCCCTGACAAACTGCACCACCATCCACCCAGCTGCCTACAGAAGCCTGGGAATGATCCTTGACTCTGAGCTCCCTCGTTCCTCACAGCAAACCAGCTCCACAAACCTGCAGAGTCCACCCCCTAAACTACTGTTCAAGTCCATCTGCTCTCTCCACCCCCACTGCTGTTTCTCTAGCCCAGCCACCATCACCCTTGGTAAGGGTTGTTGCCTCTGTTCTCGTTCCCATCACCATTTATTTCCACTGTAGCCATATTAACGTATCCAGAAAAATATAAACATGACCAGTCACACCTCCACTTAAAACCTTCCATAGATTTCCCACGGTCCCTAGGCCAAATCTTTAACACAGTCTTGAAGACCCTTCATGACCAGTCCTGCCTGCTTTTCAAGACTCACTGCTCAGCCCTCTCTAGCGCTCTATACTCCAGCTACTCTGCCCTTGTTTCAGCCCTCACACCCCCTTGCTTTCGGCCCAGCCCCCCACCCCCGAAAATGTGCCCGCCTCCCTTCCTTCCCTTCGCTTCCCTTCTCGGCCTTCCCTGGCCTTTACCTAGCACTTTCATCTCTCTTATTATAGCACTTCACTATAAGCAGCCCACGCCCTGCATCTAGACCAGCGGTTCTCAACTTTTCACAGGGGTCGCCTAAGACCATCGGAAAACACATATTTTCGATGGTCTTAGGAACCGAGACACCGCTCCTCTATCCGTCTCCAGGCCCACATGCAGATATTCCCACATACAAGTACCTGGCGACCCCTGTGGAAGGGTTGTTCGACCCCCAAAGGGGTCGCGACCCACAGGTTGAGAACCGCTGATCTAGACCGAAAGTTCCAGGAGGGCAGAGGCTGCACCAGTGCCTGCTCACTTTTATTCCCAGCTCTTGGCACTTAGGTACTGAGAAGGAGGGAAGGCCCAGAGGAAGGAAGGAAAAAGGGGATGTTTCTTTGGGGTTGGTTCTGGTTCAGTGGCACGGGCCACGGGTTAAGAGGTCCAAGCTCTCCAGGCTAGGAAAGCAGACAGCAGTCAAGCAGAAGCCCTAGCCAGGCACAGGAGCGTGTTGTCTTATCAGATTTCCTAGGAACCAGAGCAGCAGGAAGGATATATATCCAGCTGATGCAGAGACACCTCAGTGGTGACGTACCTATTCTGTGGTATTCTATGGGGAAAAAGAGAGGCACAGTCAGTGACACCCCAGCCACTCTCCCTGATGAGTTCATAGAAATCTAGATACCAACTTACATGAGCTTGCTCTAAAAATATTCTGTGTACATCCAGTGTTAAGTGCAGGAACCAAGAAACTCAAGAAAAAGCTGCTTTGGTTCATGACACTACTCTATATATTGGGTTGTTGGAAAAGTCATGACATATTTTTTCTCTGTTTTTCATTGCAAAAATGCATCATGATTTTTCCGACAACCCAATATTTACACAAGCGGTCTTCTACAATAAGTTCCTGGAAGTACGTTTGGAAAGCAAATCATAAAGTTACACGCTAGTGGAAAGGAGGATCCATTTTTTTAAGAGCCAGGGGAAACTTCTGCTGTGGAAAACAGTAGCCAGTGATCTGCAGCGGCTCCTGCTGGACGCCCAGGGATGGCCAGAGCTGCTCGCTCACTTCTCCTGAAGCTCTGAGTGGCTCAGGCTCCTCCTCCAGGCCCTTCTCTCCGGCCTGGGGGGCAAGGCGCGGCCAGCGAGCGCTGCTCTTCCCCTTCAGGACAAGATGGTGGGGTGGGAGGGCTCACCAGAGTTCCTGACTCAGTGGGCAGGTAATCAAAGGTCAGCCCTGAATCTCTTCACCTGGCATAGCACAGTTCCCTCAAATCCAGCCATCTGTGCATTTGAGGGGCACTGAGGATCATAATCACATTGAGGAAGGCCGATTTCCTAAGCTGTGGAAGCTTTTGAGGGTGCCTGCAGTGAGGTGGTGAAGGGGGGGAAGACACTCCACTAGAGAGCACTAGTCCGGAACAGGCTGTGACCTCCCGATGGAAGAACTATTCAGAAATTCCAAGGACTAGAGTCAACAAGAAAGTCAACGTTCTGAGGCATTCTGGGTTGTTACCCCATATATTCCAATTAATGTCTTAGAAACTGAAAGATCAGTCCCTCCCCATGGGGTGAACAGTTCCTGTGCTGCTCTTGTCATTTCCACCTGTGTATTCTGAGATGCCAATCAAGGCGATGAGGGTCACTGATGAATAGACAAGACAAGGAAAAACAATAAGACAAAAGAAGAGAAGGGAAAGCAAGGAGGAGCAGAAAATGACAGGTGGTTTGGGACTATTAAGAAAAAAGCTTCTAGCCAACAGGTGGCAGGATGGCTCAGCTGGTGACAGCACGTGCTCCTAACAACAAGGCTGCTGGTTCGACTCCCGCATGGGATGGTGGCTACGCCCACCCACAACAAATTGAACACAGCACCTTGAGCTGAGCTGCGCAACTGGACTTGGAGCAGAGCTAGCTGCGCCCTCCACAACTAAGATTGAAAGACAACAACTTGGCTGTTCCCCTTCTCCAATTCCCCAATAAAAAAATCTAAGGAAAAAAAAAAAAAAAGAAAAAAGCTTCTAGTGGTAAATCTGCTAATTTTCTATCCCATGACAACTTTGCAAAGGGTAAATTTTTAAAAGTCAAAAATTTTAAAGAGTCCAGTGTTATGTACTATTTGGATGCATGCATCCCCACCCCACGCCACCCTTGCTGAGAGGCACTGTCCCTTAGACAAACACTGTCCTATGCCAGGTAGGCATGCAAGACTTCATACACATGGCCCTCTTGATTCTCTAAGGGCAGGACTGGTTGGATTGTAAGTATTTGTTAACACATTCTCTCTGGATGAGGTCCACCTGCCAGGCACTGTTACTACTGCCATTCCCCACATACTCCTTTCCACGACAGTGTCAGGGAAAGGTTTCCAGGTGGGCAGGCAGGTTCTCTCTTCAGAGACTGACAGTTTCTCCTGTCCTGGGTCTGGATCACCCGCCTCCTAGCCTACAGGAAGCTGGCAAGAACCACAGGCCATGTGGTCTGGCAGGGGCCGATCTTCCTAGAGACCTTCAGCATCTGGAGGGGCCTGTCTCACAGGTTCTGGAAAACTGTGGTCCATAAACCCTTCTTCCCACCTTGGCACACCTGAAGGCCATGGCACAGTCCCTCTAGTAGCCTCAGTTCAATAACAGAGTGTCAAGGGAGCTGGGGAATGTAGTTTGGAAAAGTTCCTGGGTTGAAAATCACTATTCTAAAGGACCAATGAGATGTTATTGCTAGTTAATTTGCTCTCTCCTTTTCTAAGCATGACCCAAAGAAAGTGCTAGGGAAAGCTAAAAGTAAGAATGTTAACACTCTTGTCAACCAAGCAGCATTTAATGAGAAGAGAAGAAATGGGGGAGGGGGAGCAGTTGACAGGAGGCTGCTCCAGCACCTCCCCAGCTACTGAGGGCCAGCCTCCAGCAGGGATGAATGGCTTCCCTTTAGAAGAATCTCACGTCAGTATCCCGGAGTGACAGCTACTCATGCAACAAGCATTTAGGATGTTCCCTGTCTGCCCAGCTCCAGAGCATCGTTTCTCCAACACAGGTTCTGGCATCCTAAGAGTCTCCTCCTCTCCTCTGTGTAATCTGGTCCCAGGGTATACAAAGGATCACTGGCTCATCAGTCATGAGGCACTGCTCTTCCCACGGGACGTGGGACTTGACAACAACCAGCCAGGAAGGCCTGGAGTGAGGCTGCTCGAGGAGGAATCAGAGGCCCATGCTGCCACAGACAGGCGAGTCTCTCTCTCTGATCTCATGATAAGAGCAACCCTGCTCAAGAGGAAACAGCCCTGCTGCAGTGTCAGGACTTTGACAATTACAGGCTTGCCAATCCTAGTTTCCAGATCCTAAGTTTGGTCCTTTTTAAAATTCCCATGCACTGCGGATCAAACCTGCTTTCAATTGGCAAGGAAGGTTGCTATATGAACTGAGAATTTTCTCTAAACCTCACACTGCGGACCAGTGAAGCTGCTGATGGCTCTGGCACATGTTTCCCTAAATCAGGCTTCAGAACCTTCTGATTCTAGAGAAAACCTCAAGGCTGCACTCACTGCGATAACTGCAGAATCTGAGGCTGCTGCCGAGCTGCCCTCAGCCAGTGATGCAACAGGGAGGCCGATTTGGCTCACTGTATAGGCTCCCCGTGTCACCAGAAGGGCAGAGAGGCCCCCTCTTTAGCCTTCAGAAAGAAAAGGGGGGTCTGATATTACTCTGCAGAATTAACTCTGTGTGAGGGGAGTCAGAGGTGAACTTAGGACATGGGGCTGTTCTTTCCCTTTCCATTGCTGCATAAAGCCATTTACCGAGGTTGGGCTTGCGAGAATAAGCCTAGTCAGTGCGCTGAGTGGAGAAAGTGCGTGAGTGTCCCCAGCCCCACACAGACCCAGCACACTTCAGCTCAAAGGCTGACTGTGGTCGAATCTGGGTTGCCAGGTCACTGCTCCTCTCCGTAAGGAAACAGTGAACAAGACAGGAGGCATTCACAATGTCCGCATGCGGCTCTGGCACCCACGCAGACATTCTATCCTGTGTGACTGCCAGGAACAAGTCACCGCTTCTCATGCCTCTGTGCTTTGCTTGTGCTCATTCCTCTGCTGGAAAGCTACCCCTTAGTGAACCTGTAAGACTCAGCTCAAACGGCACTTCTTCCTTGAAGCTTTCTCCCATACCTCCAACTGCCAGGCAAACTAAGTGTCCTCTTCTCTGGAGTTTCCTAGCACCATTGTGGAACCTGTCATATGACCTCTCCATCTCCTCCACAGAGGTGGGTGCTGTGAGAGCCAAGACGATGGCTTATTTATCATTTTATCCTGGTACGTAGTATAGTGTTCCTGTAAATGCTACGGAGGATGGAAGGTGAAGAGGAACAGCAATGGGATTCTCCCAGAATCAAGTAGCTCCTGGAAGGTCAAAACATCTGCTGGGGCTTAATACCGGGCACAAAATCCAGCAGCACACAGCTGTCAGAAAGGTGGAAAACTTTGGTTCTCAAGAGGCACCTGAGTGCCGCCCCCCCTTCCCACAGGTCAGAATGTCTCCCCTGTGTATAACAGGCTCAAGCACACTTCCTGTACGGCACCTGCACCACCAGCTCTGTGACAAGCTTGCTGCCTCTGCTCTGGCTGACCAATCGGCATCAGATTCCTGGCCCTACTCCCAGTGGCTGATACCTGCTGAAGGGCTGGGAGAAAGGAAGCAGTGGACAGAAGATCCCATTCTTAGCAGTATGGCTGGAGTTAGAGAAAGGTACATCCAAAGACACACCTGAACATGGGTTACCAATGGCCAGGTGGTGGGAAACACCTGTAAGGGCAGCGAACTTCCGGTTCTTCTTCTCTGATTGGCCTTTATGTGCAGCCAATTGATAGCACAGCACTTGGGTTCTGAAGCTTTCCCAGAAGGTAGTGCTATACTGGATTATTAAAGGGACTGAATGTGATAATCAAATCCGCCCTGCTTCTATGCACTCTCATCCCTGCCTAATAACCAATTCTGCACATCCATTAGCTTCCTTGTGCTTTGCCCCAGGGCATATCTTTGCCACAAGGACATCCAAATCTTAAGCAGGGTTGCTCTGCAACCCTCAACACAACAGGCCCCAGTGTGATGAGATGGCTTGATTAAATGAGCAGGTATTCACTATGAAAGCATGGCTCGTTAGGGAAACTCACCCACCCCCTCCTCAATCTCTTTATCCAAACTCTCTCCAACTGGGAGACTTGTTAGAATCCCCAAAGATGACAGGGTAGGATTAAATTGTTCTCTCTTAGATTTAACATTATGCCCAATTTGTGTAAATAAGCTGTGACTCTTATAGAAAGAACCTGTTATGTGTGCTTTCTTCAGGCATTCTCCAAATTGTGAATCCCGAACTCATACACATCCTGTTTACAATTGACTGTACACCCAAGCCAAGGTCTTTGCAACACCTGGACAGCAACTAAACTGTCTTGAACAACAGCACCACCTAGTGATCAGTACAGCAATCTGTCTGATCATGTATTTTCTAATCATCTTTTTTACCCCCTACAACCAAGACACACACACTGAAGCCTCAACCCTTTCCAGCTGCTCAAGTTAACTGAGTTAATTCTACAATACTTTAACTCTCACACATTCATTATCTTTAACTTCTTTTACTTTTCCCCATTTCTTCCACCTCTTCCTTAGCTCACGAATCCTTTATCTGACTCTCTTCTCCAACCAAAACAATCTTCCAGTTTGTAACTAAGTCCTTCGTTGAGGGCACTCACCTTTTCGTTCCCCAATGAGTGCCATTCGGTGATCTTTAACTTCTGAACCCAGGTTATCCACCATCTTACTAATGCAACTGTCCAGGACCAGGGAGGGGGTTTTAAACTTGATGTCTTTCCGACAAATCGGGCATTCTATCTTCCGCTTCATCCATTCATTGATACAGTAGGAGCAGAAACTATGGGCACAGTTCAAGGTGACCGTCTGCAATGGGAATGTGAAAACACACATCATCATGCTTACTTTCCCTGGGTGCTTGTGATCTCAAAATTAGGGCCGGAGTCAATTCCCAAGGCCAAATGGAAATTTAAACATTATCCCATCTAGAGAGCTTACAAAGGGTATTAGGGTCATTCTTAGGGATTGGAAATTTTAAGCTTTAAGTTAGATGATTCATTTTCTTTCTCAAAATTAAGTTCATAGACTCGGGCCCCAGGCAGGCTGATTTGTCTGTTTTGTTTCACTAACTCAGACAACTGCCAACAGGGCTTAGCGGCCTTGCAAACAAATATCACTGGGCACAAGTAGGACTAGTAACAAACATGTGAATGTTTGGTACAAATACATCATTAATTCGCTTAAGAAAGACAAATGTAGGTCCTACTAATGGTGAATTAGAACCTCAATTTTAATATATGAAGGGGAGCACACTCTGAAAACTCAGTAATAGAATGGTAGGAGGCATCATCTCTATTCAAAAGAAACCAAAAAAGAAAATTAAATGTAAAAGATAACAAAAAAACTGGGGAAAAAGGAAAAAATGTAATGGGTTCACTGCCAGTGTTTGAACCCCTAAGTAAATAAACCTATGAGAAGAGAGAAAGCAGAAGGAAGCTTGTTATTTGAGGGGCTCCTCTGAGTAAACCCAGTAGATTTCTGCCAGGGCCCCTTCCATTCCCAAGAATATTGACCATTCTCTTCATTACTCTTGTTCATGTATGTCTCCTAAGATGTTTTTTCTGAGGTTCAAAAGTCTTTCATCCTGCTTTTATGATAGCAGTGGAAAACAACACAGAAATGGTGTATTTCTCAAATGTCATGCTGAGCCCAGAAAGCCAACTCGGAGACATTCCGTTTACTATATGAGATACATTCTCATAAGCAGGTCCAAAAACATGTCTAATTAAAATCAAACCTCTTTCCAACACTGACGTTAAGAGGTGACCAGGAGAAAAGGTCAGGCGGTAGGTAGACTGTAAACAAAACACAAGTCAAGTTGTCTGTCTGCACATGCACCAAGTCGGCTCACTCATTACTCTTTCCAAGCCCCCTTTCCTTGTCTTCCTCTAGTAGAGCGCATAAGCCCTGTCAAAACTACATGTACTTGCATTTTTCCTAAGTAGGGAATCAAATAACTAGAAACTATAAGGGAAATTATGATGTGATGTCAAAGTGGATTCAGAGCAAAACTAACAGGTCTGCCCAAGAGAGGCTGTTCAGGAGGCCCACAGACTCAACCTCCCTAAAGACCACCAGAAAAAGGAAGCAGTGTCTGTATGAATTTTCCTTTTTAAAGGAGTCTGAAAAGCACTGTCATTTAACAACTTAAATTTAAGCTTGTGGTGTAAGATGAACTGGTCACAAATAGAATTTGTGAAAAATAAGAGTCAGTGCAAAAACATAACAGGATAACAAATGGTAACCTAGGAGAGAGGTGTTTCATCTTCATAAGGTGCCTCAGAGTGCTTGCAAAACACGCCACTTGGCCACTGAATTCCCCAAATGACCACACATAACTGACATTTATCACGAAGTCTAAAGGCTGCACTACACGCCCACTCTCAGCACCGTGCCATTCCGAGTAAAGAAAGAGTAGCTTATTGAGCAGCTTTCTTCGATACTCAAAAATCTACACCATGTGGCTCTGTTTTCTCCCCAATAACAAAGAGATACAGGCTTTACAGCAGCTAAAAATGTTGATTACATCAAATAAATACTCAAGAACAAATGAAATAAGAAAAAGGACAGCGAAGGTCAAGGCTACAAAAACAAATGGCAAGCGGCCGTCTCTAGAGGTCACTTTGAAGTCAAATAGCTACAAGAAGCTCCTGGAAGAAAAAGTCCTTCAGGATGCGTCCCTACAGCAGTACAGCCTGTACAGCCAAGGCTCCATTCAGGGACGGGAGAGCAACAAGGCGCGAGCCACCGCTTGTAATTACCTCAATGAAGTATTCTGAGCAAATGATACACTGGAGTTCATTCTCAAGCACATCATTCAGGTGGCTGGAAATTTCCTCCTTCTGCGCTTGCACCTTCTCTTTCTCTTCCTGCAAAGACACACAACCCCACCTGTCATTCGGGAGAATCAACAAGAATGCAAAACAGGACAGGGAGCAGGGTTAATTGTCTGGAATAGGAATCAGAAGGAGTCTAAATTAAACATTCATCCTGGCACAGCAACAGAAAACAAAACACTTTCCCTCAGGGTTACTACTTCTCAGAACTGCTTTCTTTCCTCTCTGCTTTTTCAGTCTTTGTCTGTCTCCTTCCCAAAATTAACCAAATGACAAAAACTGAAGGTAGCATACCAACTCCACCAAACCACCCGAGGCCAGAGTGAGGGGATATAAAATCATCCCAAGAAGAAAGAAGACACAAAGAACAGTCCATAGAGGCAGGAAGCTTGAATTAGTGTATAGGGTCCCTTGTGCTCTTTGTAGCTGCCTCTCGTATAAAATGTGGTTAATTCCTATATTCCCTGGAGGCTGGAGAGGAGGCCGCCTGAAGTGCCCCAGGCCCCAAGCTTATGATGGCCGCCACTTCCCACTCCTGCTGAGGCCTGGGGCGCAATTTCCTTGAGCTTTCCCGAGAGGTCAGACGGCTTGTAGACACCCTTTTAAAGGAGGGTTCTAGGTATGCTATCTTGAAGAAGACATTTATTTAAGTTAGCACCTCATGCCCCCATCAGAGCGTATCAGGAGCCCCTGGCGGGCAGAGGAAAAGATATTTAGGGTATATTTGAGTAGTAGATTCATTTTTCATTTTCTCTTCTAATCAAAGCAGACTCTTAGACTGCTTACAGCAGTGAAGAGGGTCTAGACCCATTTCCAACTAAAGTCAAGTTCCCTGAAAACATATGAACTGCTGGGTTTAAAAAGATGTGGTTTCCTGGAGTTGTGGGAAGAAGGTCCTACGTGATTTAAACAGAGGATAAGGCTATCCAACCAACTGACAAGAGGCCCTTCCTTTCTATCCTCTGCTCCGGGTCTGTAGGTGAGGAGGGGTGAGCCGAGGAATGCAGTCAGACTCAGGCATTCATTGCAGGTCAGCGGTTGCAAACAAATGGCCTGTGGTCTGGAACCAGCCTACACACTTGTTTATAATAGTTTGGCCCTCATGGTATTGAAAAACAAAACAAAAAACTGAACTTGTTGCCAATATTTGAAAATTAGGATATTTCATGTAAACATCTGGACTTCCATCTTCTGGAGAAGACAGAAGATCTGGCAATACTGGGCTTGCATTTCTGGATGGCAACAACTGACTGCAGCAGAGCAGCGTTGCCTCTTGGGTGGGGGTGGGAGGTGAAGGGCCGTTTCCATGCACCTCTGTCCTCAGGGCTCCCTACTGTGTTTACACCCAGGTCACTTCACTCACTTCCATCACCAGGCTGACCCCAGTGGGCACTTGAATTTATAGCCCCTAATTTAAGAGTTCCACTGATTTGATGTGGGAAATAATTACATAAATGCATGAGGATGAACTACTTTTTACTCTGACTATACCGCTCCTTACTTAGCCTATGTCAGTGAGCCGCTGAAGGAGCATCTACCAGAGAGAATGGACTAGACAGCAGGATGTGAGTGTCTTATTCCAAGCGTTTCACTTCTGAATGAGGGAAGGAAATAGATGTTGTCTTACAGGCAGAACCTTCTATAGGCCTGAATAATTTTACAGATTATTTCCCCTGAGGCTGGGAAAAGCCATCATCTCTCTCTTCATTCACCATAGCAACACTTGCACTGTTGAAAATGCTGAGTTGCATTTATTTACGAACCAAAACCAAACTCTAAACCTTCATCTTCTTTCTCGTACCTTGATCTGCTCCAGTTCTCTGTTCTTGGCTTGAATAGCTGCTTCAAAGTTCTTCTTGCTGTGATTTAGCTCTTCCACCAGATCCTGATGCTGCAGAACAGAGCAGAAACATAACAAGGAAAGCTAACTGCATCCTTCCTGTTAGCCACACACACCTGTCTCCTCCCTGCCAGGGGCTTTGGTGCAAGGGATCAATGGACTGGCAATTTGAAAATAACGCCAGTGTTCCTTCAGGACATCCCACTTAGCTGGTACTCTTTTTCAGGGAAGGGAGCAGATAGGGGAGTTAGGCCATCAAAGCTACTAATCCCTCTGGAAACAACCTAACCTCCATGGCCATCCAAATCAACTGAAGAACTTACAATGCCTTCCAGAGTCTGATTCTATAGGTTTGGTTTGGGGCCCAGGAGTGTGCTTTTTTTTTTTTAAAGCCACCCAAGTAATTCTAGGAGCCAATGTGCAAGAACTAATAAGTAACTCTGAAGCCACCCAGCACTGGGAGTAGCTTTTAAAAAATAATCAGGGAGAAAGGAGACTCAGAAAAACAAGATAATCATTTTCATTGAAATAGAAAAGACCTTTAACCTATTTATTCTCCAAACCACACACTACCTGCTCATAAGGCAATGCTGCCTAAACCCTGCATGTCTGTTGTGGAACCTGGCATGCCCAAGAGCTAACAGCTCGAACACTGTGACTGACTGCCCACACCAAACGTCAAGAGATTCCACCTCTATGAAGCATAATTTATGAGCTCCCTCATGCTCAAGTATAGCTTATACTTCAATCTCACCTCAAATCCTTTTTTAAAGCAGGTAAAGTATTTCTGGAAAGATATTACTCAAGAAACAAATTTTAAAACGTGTGGTCTCCTGAGAAAAGCAGTTACATCAGAAGGCCTGGATATTCATTCATCTTGACCGCTACTTAGATGTGTGTACCTTAACTTTCTCATCTATAAAATGGGAAAACAGGTGCCTCTCCTACATCAAGTGTTAATAAAATAAAATAACACATAGGAAAGCATTCAGAAAAGTTCAAGCTCTATGTAAATGCAGTTGTTATAATGGCATCTTAAATGAACAAGAACAGCTTCAGAGAGACCACAGAGTAGACCAAAATAGAACCATGTTTCAGTTGAGAGTGGGATATCCCCCAGGCACGTTGTCACAGAACCGTGACCTAAAAGCATCCCATTTTAAGATAATGAATGGACTGGCCAAGTACCTCATGCTAAATGATGGTGTATTTTCCTATATGTCTCAGGAGAGGATGAGGTGCTATGGGTGCAGGGTGCTTAATGATCCCTCAGGGATTTCCAAGTAGCAGAGTCTTACCTTCCATTCAATTTCAAAATAATATCTGAATATTAACTGAATAATATTCTAAATGGGAAATATGCCTACCCTCCCATCCTAGAAAATAAACAAACTCAGGAAATAAAATTCCAAAAAGGTTGAATTCTTTCCAAGGCTGTTTGTGTGTCTCAAGGAAATCAAGGCAAGCACCTCCCAAGCTTACCACAGTGTGGGACTATTAGCACTGTAAGAAGGTTGGGAGGGGGCCGGCCCAGTGGCACATTGGTTAAGCGCTGGCTTGGGATGCCAGAGGGCACCGGTTCGGATCCCACATATGAGAGCGAGTGACACTGCCCTCCACAGCCAAGATGCTGAACAACAGCTCAACCTGGAGCTGGGCTGCCGTGAGTCGCTGCAACGGCGTAGGCTGCAGCCCCTGCTGCAGTGGTTGCCATGGGCTACTGTGTGTGGCGAGCGGCCAGCAGCTGCCGTGAGCGGCTGATCTGCTTTGCCCAGGAAGAGCACAACGATGGTGCCAACTTAGGCCAGTGAAGCAACGTCCTCCACAGCTAGACTGAAGAAAATGACAGCAACTTGTCTGTTCCCCTTTCCCCAATTCCCCAATAAAAATCTTTGAAAAAAAAAGGTTGGGAGGTGGTATGCAATAAAAGAATGTAAGGATAAATTAATATTTTAAGTTTTAATGTGACTGCCCACTTTTCTCAAGGAGATATGAACCACCCCGCTAACCTCCTGACTAAACTTGCATCAAACTACTAATCATAACACATAAAGGATAGAAGATAGAGGAGGTTTTAAAGATGCAAAAAAGGCTATGAAACATAATCAGATGAGAGAAACAGTCAAGTTAAATGAAATAAATTACAGGTGCTCTTTTAGGAGATTTTTATTCCTGTGAGCCTTGCCCTTTCAGTAAATCAATGTTTTGCTGACTGTTAAGCTGCACATTCTTGACCTGACCTACAATGCTTAATTGGAACGTTCCTGAATGGTTTCTGAATGGCTTCAGCTCAGGAATGGTAAGGTGATGGAGGCCCTTGCAGGCCTGGGGGGCCAAGTCACAGCTCGCAATTCCCCTCTGCTGCCCTCACCTTTGCGGAGGTGCAGCCACTCCCGACTCCCAGAGAGTCTCCTAATTGCCACAGGAGCAGCTTCTGCTCAGATGAAGATGTAAGTTTTCCTGCTGAGGTCTGGCATGTGTGTGAGGCTCCCACTCTCTGACCTGATGGTGTGAGCAGCTGCCACCTGCTCTGCCTACAGAATGGAGATGTTGCAGAGGTGTGTGCTAAGCAGCAGAGGCAGCCAGTGGCCACGTGGAGCCTGGGTGCCCCTCCCGGCTCTGCAGCCCGCTATAATCTCAGTACAATGGCAAGAGACAGGTTACCTCCTGCAGAGCCTGGGCCAGCTGTTGCTTCAGGTCCTCTTCTTGCTCTTTCTCCAACCCCTGCAAAGCCAAAAACAAAATGTAAGGTTTCCCTGCAGGAAGGGAAAAAAGGAACAAAACCCAGCAACAAGCAGAGAAGCCCAGCTAGCACAAGCATCTGGAAACAATAGGGAGCAGGCAGCAGGTGGAAATTTTCCCATTTTACTTCAAGCTGTTGGCAGTAAGGGATTTAAGCAGAGCTAATTACTCAAATTCTGCTCACCTCAGGGGTATCACCTTCAAGCCACCACTCAGGCTGTTCTGGAGAAACTCTGGGCTAACACTCCACGTCTCCTTACCTGGCAAATGCTGTGACTTCCAAAAGGTTGTACACTAAGAGGTTCTGAGCCAACAACTATCTAAACTCAAATATAATCCACCAAGCTGGCACCCAGGAGCTCCAGGTTTCTTCCCTTGATTCTGGGGACCCTGCTTTTACTCTGAGTCCCTTTACCACTTCCAGCCCATAAACGGCTCCTCCTCCCACCCTGCTTGAGCTTATGCTTTATTTCTTCCTTTGGTCCTCCCTGATATGAACGCCTTCCACATCATGATCACCCTACGTCTAGCACTTTCCACAAAACCTCTGGGCCTCCTTACTTTAAGAATTACCTACCCATTTAATATGCCAACTTGAAGTTGTTCTCTAATTTAAATATATTGACTTAAAACTGTTCTGATTATTTTATGTGTATAATACATTTATTAAGCATCTTTATAATCACCTGAACCCAAGTATAGGGCCAGGCAACATAAGTGCTCAAAAAAAAAAAAAAAATCTCTGTGAAGCAGCAAGGCTTCAGTGAGCTTCTGAACAAGTTACCGGGGTAGGATACACCCCCTAGGGCTTGGTGGCAGAGGGAAATCCCGCTAATAAATAAAGGACTAGATACGCTTAACTATGAGCAATTTATATATGACCCTCTCAAATCTGGAGAAATTTTCTAAGCCAGTCCTTTTTGCCTTTATCATTTCAGAATGAAAAAAGGTTTTACAGCTGTCCTGGAAACATGCCCAGAGCAGCCACAATATTAATTAACAGCAACTCTTATTCCTGAACGCATCAGCCTTGAAGCGAGTTCTGCCCTGGGAAGGGTGGCATATACTAACACACAGAGCTAAACCTCCCTCTATTCATGTCAAGAACCAGTCCAGGCTGGATAAGGGAAGAAAAAAGGTACACATAAGCAAGCAGTCTATACCCTTAAAAAACCTATTTAATCCATGGCTTCTAATACTACCAGTTCAAGGGGATAGCAGAGATTAGAATGAAATGTATACTTTTTCGGAAACAAGCCAATATTACTGGTTGTTCCTTGCTCTGAACAAAGTAAACAAAAGATAAAAGCTTATTCAGTTCCATCCTGATTGGCCTGTCTTAGTTACAAGTCAACAATGGGGAATTCTTGACATTCAGTATTACCTGGGCAAGTCAGTGGGAGGAAAACGTGTGGCTCTTGCCAGACAGGAACTGACATTTTGAGTAGAAACCAGGATTGACTCTAACCGAGAAACTCTGTGCAAGAGCTTGTCATCTAAAATGACTCGGGGATGGGGACACAGTTGGTCTTACCTTGACAGCTAAGACAGTCATTATTTTACCTTCCCGCTAACAGCACTGTGGAAGGTGGCTTACCACTCAGCCCAATAACTGAATTATGGTGTACCTGTCCCTCCCATGCTGGCTGCTCAGAACAGAAAGAAAACTATTTTCTGCCTTTGTAACCTTCCATTTCCTAGGTTAGTTACAGAGCTAACAAGTTGCCAGGTACATCAAGGGCAGAGTAATCAGCTGACCCATACCTGCCTTGGGCTAACCGATTGGGCTTTGACCACACAGCAAAGAAAAATAACTCGTGAGGACAACTATCGGTTTAATTAGAATGTACTGTGGTTTTGTGGCATCTTGACCTTCATCCAACCTCTTTCTAAATTTACCTGTTCTGAGACGCCTCAGCTTTGCATCCTGAGATGTTACACCCTGGGGCTGGCTCTGCCAGCCACCTTACCTTATCTGGCACTCCAACTCTGGCTCTTGAGCTGATCATCGTGCTGAAGCCTTAACCCCTGACCCAACCCCATTCTCTTACCTCAAAGTTTCCTGTTCCCATTCCATCTCCTGTCCCTGGCACTCAGCATGTGGTCCCTACCTCAGAGAGCTCTGGCCAGAGGCTCACCAAGGACCTGCCCAACCCTGAGAGCCACTCTTGTCCTTCCCTCCTGTGTGGTACCTGGAGACACTGCTGCTCTTTGTTGAAAATCTTCACTAGCTGCTCCACTCTGGCCTGCAGCTGGGCCTGCTCTGCATAAAGTAGGGACTGTAAATCCTGCAATTCCTGCTCCATTTTCACAATTTTATTTGAGTTCCCTTTTCGGGACTGCTTTTTCACCTTCAGAACAGCTACCTGTTTTTCCTGCATCTGTGCTTTAAGCTTCAGAATCCGAGACATAATCACCTTAAACAGCTCTAAGATGTTCTGAGATGCTAAAGGGTACGAGGCTTTCTGCTTCTTATGAAGTTCCACAGCTTTCGCAGGGCCAGAGTACACGTGAGCCCCTGTGGTCTTCTCACTTGGCTCAGAAGTCAACTTAGGGTCCAAATGTTCAGAGGGTTGACTGGCCACTTCCCCTTTCCCATGTGACTTCACTGGTTGACCAGGTTCACAAGACACTTTGCTTATTATGGACTTCAAATCTGAGGGGCCTTCAGCTCCAGGACCTTCCAATTCATCCATAAATTTCCTTTTAGTTCTCAAGTCCTTATTTTTTTCCATCATCTGGTCACTCTTTGGGGCAAGATAAGGATTCCTCTCCTGGTCTTCTTCAATAACTTCATATTCATACTCTGCATTCTCCTTATTTTCCAGAGGCATCCCAAGCTGGATGTGGTCTCCCTTTTGGAGAGAATAGACCTTTAAAGGTTCTAGACGGACTCTGTTGAGCCAAACACCATTCAGGCTCTGGGGAATAGGAAAAAAAGACAAAATAAGCTTCATGGTTTTCCTCCTCTTAATAGAATTTCTCTCCTGCTGCTGCAAAACCTCCCGCCTTTTCAGAAGAAAAACCCTTGAGAACAAATAGCAAAGAAAGCTTCATAAACCACCATCCTTAGAAACAGCATTCTTCAAACAGCGCTTTGGTTTTTTACCTATATTTCACATTCATGCCTCCACAGAGAATGCCTGTATAACAGGCAGGCATCACCTGATTACTGGTGGATGAATTACTCAAATAAATGGAGTGGCACTGAAAGAAACTGAGATTTAATAGTTCCTATTGACTTAAACTGGAGGCAATGGCCCAGGACTGAAAAAACTGCTATAAGTAAAGAAAGCAGCATCTAATGATGAGGTTTAAAAGGTAGGCTTCACCAGGAAAGTCATGCCAGCACTGCCTCTGGATGTGCCCCCTGAACAGTGGTGAATGAGCCAAGCACTTTCCAGTCTACATAAACCAAAAGGGAGAGTGCCAATATTTATCTTGGAGTCAAACTGCAGGTGGAATCGGACCCAATAAATAGCCCCAGAGGTCCCTGGGCAATACAGCATAGTGGTTAAGAGCTGGAGCTCTGGACTCAGACAGACTTGGGTTCTTAACCTCTGCACCACTTTGGGCTTATTAGTTGCATGGCCTTCAACAATTTATTTATTAAACTCTTTGTGTCTCAGCTTTGTGTGTAATAGAGATATACAGTACCTACCTCATACGGTTTCTGTGAGGAATATATGAGAGAATACATGTAAAACACTTAGCACAGTGACTCACATATAATAAATGCTCGATATTTACTTTATGGTTTTAATGAAATCATAGTTTAGGGGTTAAGAGCATGGATCCTAGAGACAGACTGCCTGAGTTTGTAATCTGGCTCCATCACTTAACTGTGTGACTTTGGCAATTTTGTTAACCTGTCTATGCCCCCGTTGCCACATGTATAAAATGGAGAATGAGTCTCTCCCTCGTGGTGTTTGTGTGGATTTAATGAGATAACATGTGTAACGTACTTAGAAAGTGCCTGGCACATGTAAGCGTTATGTGCTTACATAATGTGCTCATTACTATTATGTTCTGGCCCAACTGATTTATTAACAACCACTCAATTCTACGCTCAGTATCTCGCAAGGTAAACATACCAAGTACAAATGTAGCAGACATGAAAATAACTTTTAGCCACTGGCTATGGAAAGAACACAAGGGCACATATAAGCAAACGTGGGGTTACACAGCACAGCCTATAAATGCAACGAAATATCATGTACAGGTGGGTTAGTAAGTGACGCTAAATGGGGATGACGGGTTCTAACACAGGCTTGAAAGAAATGCAGGAGTCAGAGTTTAAAGAAACATGTGAGCATTTTAAACCATATCAAGGACTTACCTTTGGGGAGCAGGCCAGAGACGAAGCTCACAGCTGAACTGAGGTGAAGACTTATGTTTATGTTGGTAACTACAGCTACCTATTTTCAGCTAGGGAAATTATCCGGTCAACCCAAATATGAGGAACAGGGGCTTGACCACCCGGCACAGAGGACAGGTGGGGTAGAGACTGGATCTTAGCTCTGGTTTAGTATTAGGCCCTTGGCTCTGGTTTTATATTATTTGGCTAGAACGGGGAGAGGGAGAGAAAGCCAAGCACAGACACACAGAAACGCTGCCTGCCTTTAACCCACTGCTTGGGGCCTCACTGGGCTCATCTGGCCAACCTGCTTCCAACGTTTATGTTCATAGTCTGCCTCAGAAACTCCGGGGAGTAATCTGTTTTATGACAACAGTGGGGAAATAACAAAGGAGAGGGATAGAGGTCAGAAGAATCTATTTGAGAATAATTTTATATCAGAATAAGTTACACATAGGAAAAAGATTTCAGAAAAAGTATATGACACAGAAGCCTACCTAATGCCAAAGTACAGACACTTAAGAAACATCTCAAAAGCAAAGATAAACTTAAATAAATAAATAAAGAACGTTAGGAAGCAGCCCAAGGCTAGAGAGAACAAGGAATCCCGAAAAAGCTGGGGCAAACTCTCAAGACATTGCAAACCTCCACTAGATCGTCAACCCGCCTCCTTCAGAACCCTTTAGGCCTGGGAAAAAAGCTCTCAAAATTTTCCCACATTTTATCCTTGGATCCTTCTGTTTATCCATTCATCCCTCCTTGGTGACACCTAGTGGTATAATTTAGACCATCACCCTGAGTCAGGTCTGTTCACAAGGTGACTATAGAAAAGGATGAAATACGTGGCTATGTAAGAACAATTGAGTACTGCCCAGGATATGATCTCAAATATTATACAACGGTTTAAATAAATCAAACTCTGTTCAAATCTTTGATGTCGGTTTTCATAATCACCAATTTGAACAATGTCAGCAGCAGCAAAGTAATAACCAAAAAAAAAAGCCTGTGTAATGTCTCTTAGCCATCATTGGGGTAAAAAGGGGGATAACACGCACTCCCTTATACACTAATTATTTCACTTGATGCTCAATCTCTGTCCAGGGTTTTAATCAGTTGTTGAAGACAGTGGAAACCCAAAGCCACAAGGCAATGTTTTCTTGGGGTTTTCCGGATGATTTATGTAGCTCAGTGGTTCTTAACCCTGACTATATAGTGAAACCCCCTGGAAATGTTTAAAACAATTAGCAATACCTGAGTCTCACCCTCAGGCTGAGTTAATTGGTCTGAGATGGGACCAGGCATCAGGATTTTTTTTTTTTTATTTTTTTTTAGCTGAGCCATCCTGCCACCTGTTGGCAGCTCTGCGGCTGCTCAGCTCGGGCTGGACTCGAACTGTTGTTGCTCAGAGCTCAAACTCTTGAGTGAGCTCTTAACCAACTGAGCCACTCGGCCGGCCCTGCATCAGGATTTTTAAAGTCAGGTTTATATACAAATACATACAGCATGTAACTGTATTAAGACAAACTGTCCCTTGTAGCCAACCCTTCCCCGATTCCCAGTTAACTACTCCTCTGCCCTACCTACATAGATTTACCTTTTCCAGAACAGTTGTATAAATGGAATCATACAGTATGTACCCTTTTGAGTCTGGCTTCTTTCACTTAACACAATGACTGAGAATTGCCCACGTTGTTGCATTAAGAGTAGTGTGGTATTGTTTTATTGCTAACTATTGGGTCATCGGGAAAGTCATGATGCATTTTTGCATTGAAAAACATAGAAAAATACGTCATGACTTTCCCGACGACCCAATAGTATCCTAAGGTATGGGTATACGAGCTTGTTTATCCATTCCGTAGTTGTTGTTTTTTTCCAGTTTCTGGTAATTATAAATAAAGCCACTATAAACTTTCACATACAGGTTTCTGAGGGAACATAAGTTTTCATTAATTTGGGACAAATACCTACAAATTGGATCACTGGGTAGGTCTATGTTTAATTTTAAGAAACTGTCAGGGCCGGCCGAGTGGCGTGTTGGTTAAGAGCTGGCTTGGGACACCAGAGGGCCCCGGTTCGGATCCCACGTATGAGGGCCAGTGACACTGCCCTCTACAGCTAAGATGCTGAACAACAGCTCAACCTGGAGCTCGGCTGCCTTGAGTCGGCAACAGCGTAGGCTGCAGCCCCTGCTAGTGGGCTGCCATGGGCTACCATGTGTAGTCAGCAGCGAGCATGAGCGGCCANTGAGTCGGCAACAGCGTAGGCTGCAGCCCCTGCTAGTGGGCTGCCATGGGCTACCATGTGTAGTCAGCAGCGAGCATGAGCGGCCATCCAGAAGCCGGCAACTGATCTGCCTCACCCGGGAAGAGCACAGTGATGGTGCCAACTTGGGCCAGTGAAGCAACATCCTCCACAACTAGACTGAAGAACAAAACGACAGCAAGTTGTCTGTTCCCCTTCCCCCAATTCCCCAATTTAAAAAAAAAAGAAACTGCCAAACTGTTTCTCAAAGTGGCTGTACCATTTTGTATTCCCACTTACAATGTTTAAAGGTTCCAGCTATTCTGCATGCTCCGTAGCACACAGTACTATTTTATTTTAGCAATTCTAATAGATGTGCATCAGTCAATATTTTTTAATTCTTTACTAAAACATAACATACAAACATAAAAGTGCACAAATCATAAATGTACAACTAGATGAATAATCACAATGTAAATGCCTCAGTATAACTACCACAAAGTTAAAACAACATCAACAAAAAAACTAACCCATATTTATTAGCATCCCAGAAACTTCCTTTTGCCTCCTTCAGTCCTAGGTCCCCTTGCCCCGCAACAAGTTTACTATTAGCCTGGCTGAACACCACACATAAGTTTTGACATTGTATAAATGGCATCATATGTATTCTTTGGTGTCTGTTTTATTTCACTCATTACTATGTTTGTGGATGTATCCATGTTGTTAGATACAGTAGTTCATTCATATTCGTTACAATATAATGTTTCACTGCAAGAATAGTCTAGTTTATTTCTCCGTTATACTATCGATAAACATTTGGGCTGTTTCTCTGGGTGTGAAAATACTGTCATGAGATATATATGTGTGCACTTTTCATAAATAATGCCAAATAATTTCCCCAAATAGTTGTATCTATTTACACTTCTACCCAAAGACGACTTTTGCTCTGTGTCCTTGCTAATACCTGGCGTCTTCAATATTTAATTTTAGCCACTCTGGTGGTATGCAGTTGTATTCCATCTTGGTTGTGACTTTGAAACAACTAATTTTCTAAAACAGCTGGATCCAACACATAGGATGAACTATCTGAAGAGCTACTCAATTAACTGAAATCTACACAACTACAACCATCCTCCTATTATTATGTGTGCAGAGAGAGTAAGCAGTCCTTCAAGTTTGGGTTTTTTTCCCCTAAGCCAATTTTAAACCAAAATTGCATTTGTTGCAATTTCTGTATCTGTACTTGTTTTCCCTTTCTGGCCATTCCAGCATATAAGAGAGACCATTTTAGGAAGAGAGAATGTAGTTTTAAGTTTTGAATTATTAGAAACATCTACCTCTTGAAAAGATTTGGCAAGCAACTTCAGATATGACCACAACAATAACATGCTGCACCTGAAATTCAAATCCTTCATCAGGAGAAGAGGGCTACCAAGGCACCATGCCAGAAAGAAGCAGAGCGTCTATTAAGAAAAGTTTGTGGGAGGGGCTACCTACAATAGTTCCCCAACCCAAATATCTCAGTTACAGCTTCTGAGGATGGAAAAGGGGCCACAGGTTAAACCTGATAAGCTCAGGAGACTGAAAATAACCACATAAGATGGCATGAACAACAACAACAAAAAATTATAACTGAGGTGGGGCGTGGCGGGAAGTCACATCTTTAGCCTGAAGTTTCCTTCATAAAGTTAATCTTCACCTTAAGTGAGCCTGTCTATTGTCTTTTTGCACCTAAGATAACATCCTTGGAATGTCAGTAATCCCAGGACAGGAAACTACAGAATCCCTCATTATTATTCTTGTCCGCTGATAACGACCTCTATGTAAAAAGTGAACTATTAACTATCCTGCACTCATCTATGTAAAGGAAGTACCTGTTTCTCCATTTTACTTTTTATCCAATCCCAGAGATTTCCCCACTTTGTTTTCTCCCACCCCCTTAATCTACCATCAATGGATTTCATGTAATCTTCCTCCTTTGATTCTATTGCTCAGTGGTCTGGGGAAACCCTCCCCACACCTAGGAACCAAATGGTTCATCTCAGAGCCATTTTAATACACTTCCTTCTAACAGTTATCTTTAAACTCCTTCCAACCAGAGCAGTGTAGAATGGTGTCTGAAGACATTTTATACTTCCTAATCCTTAACTGTCCACATTAGAATGTCTCTCACCTCACAGCCTTTATTTTCACTGTATCCTGAGTGCTTATATATCTGCACTTTAGGCACTTCCTAATTGCTGGGCTTTATACATTATTTCACCTCCCTTAGTATTCACATTTTGCAAAATTTTAAAGCCAAAAAACCCTTTATTCCAAGGAAATCGTCCTTAAGAGCACCAATACATAAAACAGGTTTAACACGTTTGTGGACGGTGACACAGATTTGCGTCTATACATTTAAATGCCCCATCCTCATTGTGTTAAAAAGGAGGGAGATGGTTTGCTCTGACTGAAAGGAGTGGGGAGGGGGAGGGACTAGGTGCAGTCAGCTCAGCTCCCCACTCCTCCCGGGCTCTGAACCACAGGTGTGCTCCACAATCCTCACCAGCTTCCCATGGTTCCTGGACCTTCAAGTTACAAATGGCCAATTCACCCAGTAACTTAGTCTAGTTTCTGGAGCAGGACCTACTGCTCCAATTCAGGTGTTCCTTTCAAAGTAACTACAGTTGAAGTCCTCAGAAATGACTGTGGCACAGTCTCATCTCTGGCAGCATACAGAAATGGTTGTCTCTGGGGAAGACAACGGGGTGGCTTGGGAGGAATATATACTTTTGAATCTTTAAATTGTGTACCATGTATCACCTATGCCAAAAAAAAAGAGGGCCGACCGAGTGGCTCATTGGTTAAGAGTTGGATTGGGGGGCCGGCCGAGTGGAGCGATGGTTAAGAACTGGCTTGGGACGCCAGAGGGCCCCGGTTCGGATCCCACATATGAGGGCCAGTGACACTGCCCTCCACAGCTAAGATGCTGAACAACAGCTCAATCTGGAGCTGGGCTACCATGAATCGCCGGCGACGGCATAGGCTGCAGCCCCTGTGGCAGTGGGTTGCCATGGGCTACCATGTGTAGCCAGCAGCCAGCGTGAGCGGCCAGCAGCCGCAGTGAGCGGCCGTCCAGAAGCCGGCGACTGATCTGCCTCGCTGGGGAAGAGCGCAATGATGGTGCCAACTTGGGTCAGTGAAGCGACGTCCTCCACAACTAGACTGAAGAACAAAACTACAGCAACTTGTCTGTTCCCCTTCCCTCAATTCCCCAGCATTGTTCCCATCCCCCCAATTCCCCAATTAAAAAAAAAATCTTTAAAAAAAAAAAGAGTTGGATTGGGAACGCGAGCTCTGAGCAGCAAGGCCACCGGTTCGGATCCTACATGGGCCAGTGGCGCTGCACCCTCTACAGCTAAGATGATGAACAACAGCTCACCTGGGCTGCTGTGAGTCGCCGGCGACGGCATAGGCTGCAGTGGGCTGCCGTAAGCTACCGTGAGTGGCCGGCAGCGGGCGTGAGCTGCCTTGAGCTGCCGTCCAATGGCCGGCGACCAATTTGCCTCCGCCAGGAAGAGTGCAATGATAAACCAACATGGGCCAGTGAAGTGACATCCTCCACAACTAGACTGAAGAACAAAACGACAGCAACTTGTCTGTTCCCCTTCCCTCAATTCCTCAGTGTTGTTCCCATTCCCCAATTCCCCAATAAAATCTTTAAAAAAATAAATAAAAATTAAAATGAACAAAAATTCAATGAAAGTCATTAGGCTTCTATGGGTTCCTGTACCTTGTTGTCCATAATTGTCCACTGGCCGTCAGTGTTCTGCTTCAAAACACAGTGTTTTCGGGAAATCATCAGAGGGCAGAGTTTTGATATCAGTTGGTATGTGACACCAAATCCTCGCCCTATGGTCACCTAGGAAGACAACAACAAAGTAAAAGATACCATCAGCCATTGTGTTGAAAAAGGAGGTCCTTGAAATCTTGTCAACCAGCAGTATATACATGTCCTGACAATGAAACCAGGCTCCCAGGAAACCCAAACTGCTCATCAGCTATCTCCTCTTTCAGCTGCCATGGGAGCCACCAGGTAGAAAAAGGCAAGAAGCTGTGACAAGGAGAGACGGCTGAATGGAGTTACTCATGCGATGTCAGGGTTGCTGGGACTGACCCTGAAAAGTCATAAGGTGGAGGAATTCTTTTTACACACCCTCATCAACTAGTCATAAACTGCAAGAAACTACAGCCTCGATACACAAGACAGTCCCTCCAATTTCTTACTGGCCCCGAACTGACATCTTTCTTGCTATGAATTCCATTCACTGGCCCTGGCTCTACCCTGGGCGCCATGAGAAAATCTCCAGTTCCCCCACCACATGACAGCTGGAGGGTCTACCAAGTCCTCTCTTTTCTTGGCCCTATGTTCCCAGTTACTTCAACTTAATTCTCATGGCATGGGTTTGAGTCTCTCTGCTATCCTAATGGGTTTTTCAAGAGACTCCTGGTTTATTTTTATTCCTGGATGCCATATTAAGAAAAATAAACTTAATTTCTATTACACGGTTGAACCCAAGTATCACTTTCACATTTCTAAATATTATCACTGGAGCATATAAATTGCATTAGTGTTCATAAATCTATCACACTGCCAGTGTAACCTCAGTCTTAGAAATGATTAAATTTCTGACCCTCCCCCAAGAATTGCTACACTAAGAATTGCTTCTGTCCTATTCTTGACTAGTTGGTAATTCTGGATTCAAGTGCAGGACCTTACATTGATCCCTGTTAAATTTCATCTTGCTAGTTCAGTCTATCACATGAGTTTGTCAAGACCTTTATGAATTTTTAATCTGCCATCAGACATACTCAATATCCCTTCCAGCTTTGAGTCAACCAAACTGATAAGATGCCCTTCGGACCTTCATTCAAGACATAGGTAAAACATTGAAAGAGGACGTAGCCAAAGGCAAAGCTCTCAGGAAAGCCTAGTAAACATTCTACCATACAATCTGGGTATACCTTCAAACAGTTGTAATACAACCAAAAGTCTTTGCGCTGAGTCCATATTTTCCATCTTATCTACAAGGACAGCATGAGAGCTCCTGGAAAAGGTTGCAAAGAAGCCCCCATTCACATCTATCATACTTTCCTGATAAACTAGTCTAGTTCCTAATAACCCTGTCAAGGAATAAAATGAAATTCTTCCGAGATCCAGATCTTACAATTCCCTGCTTGTTCTTCTTGGTGCACAAGCCACCTCTTTAATGACCCATACCAAGCCTTACCGGGGAACATTAAGCCAAATCATCTGTGGTTTTCTAAAAGCTGCCCTCTTTGTTCTTGAATTTTTCAGAATCATGCCTGTCCTTCTCAGTCCCTCAAAGACCACCATGACTCTCCTTGCCCCGATCCAATCTACCCCACAAACTTTCATCTCAGTAACTGACACTCCCATCCAATCATCAAACTCAGGAGTCATCTTTGATTCTTCTCTGTCCCTCATCCCCACATTCAAATCATCAGCAAATTCTCCCGGCTGTAATTTAATATATTGTAAATCTGTTCACTTCTATCTCTATAGTCACTACCTTATTTCAAACACCTTGGCCTCCTCCAGTTATGCTGTTTTTGCTTCTAGACTAGCCCTTCTAAACTTAATTCTTCACACAGCAGCTGCAGTGGTAATGTAAAAACTTTAAATCAGGTCATTTTCTTTCTTTCTTTAAAATTCTCCAATGATCCCAACTTGCTTTCATAGCCTGAATGTCCTCTCTCCACCTCTTTAGACTTATATTTCCCACCATGGTCAGAAACACTCACAGCCCACCTGAGGGTCTTTTCACCTGTCTGATCTGCTTAGAACACTCTTCTCTCAGACATGGGCACGGGTTTCTTCTCATCTTTCAAATATCAGCTCCTCCAAGGCCTACCCTCATTACCCTACCTAACGTTGCTGCCTGCTCCCTATCCCCATCCTACCCTATTGCGTTCCTTTATGTTATTAGCATGCACTTACACAGTTCAAAATTAATTTGCTTGTTTTACTTATTTCTGTCTCCTCCTTACTAGAATATAAATTTCATGAACAGGGGCCTTATCTGTCTTGTGTACCATTGTTATTTCTGTACCTGCCATGGTGCTCAGGAAATATCTGTGAATGAATGGAAGAATACAGAGATCTTTATGAGTCCTCCCAGATTCTAGGATGGGCGTTTTTGGTGGGGTTTTTTTTAGGTCAGAAGTTGGAAACTGGGTTATTACCACTGGAAACTATGGAGCAGTAAGCGAACAGGAACTCTTACAATCTGACTTGTTCCTCTTTAAAATTTTGTGGTGACCACCTCTACCAAAATCCTGAGTTTGAAGTTTTTCAGTTATTTGAGTTTACCAGAAATTCCATTAACTATGGAAGTTCCTCTGAATACATATATCCTTTGAAAATGGAATGCTAAAGGATTTATCTGTCATCTGTATTCAGTTAGAATTTCCACTTAGGTAGCTTTATTTCTAATAAAGGAAGTACTCCATATTCCATTTTAATACTTGAGGGGAGATAGCCACATTGCCCTTGTGAGTAGCCTGGGGAAAGTATTACAGAAAAGCGAGGTGAGTGCCTTCTTTTGAAATTGCCTCCTACAGACTCTGAATCTAGAAAAGGAAGGAAATACTCTCTTTCATCCCTCCCTTCACTATCTGGTTCTAGAATTTACACCATGGCTAAAGAGTCTGCAGTGAGCTTATCTGGATATCCCAGCATCATTCATAACACAAAACTAAATTTCCCATGGGAAATGAGTGCCAACAAGCTCCCCACACATACGGTGGGGTTGTTTCCATTTGCCGTATAAATTTGCAAGACTTTGAGCTTACTGACATCATTGACCTATAAGATCATCTTGTTTTACCCACCTTCATTAATACTACCCCTGTCCTCCTTGGAATGACTCCTACTGTTTCCCAGATGACCAGCAAATATTCTAGAAACATCCTCTTTCCAAATATTTTAGGGCAGAAATTTTCATGAAAACCAAACACGAGAGAAGAAAAAGGGAAAAATGAAGATACTACAGTTTTTCCCAAAGCCCTAGATACTTACTATTTCCAGGAAACTAGCTAATCTGCGATACATGTCTATCTAATTTGTTTTTCCAGCAAACTGTCTGAATTGGTCTAAGAAATTTAAAGACACACATTCAGGTAGACAATTTACCACAGTATTCCCTTCAGTGAAATGAGAGGAACCTTGTTTTATTATTTTATCTGTGAAATCTGAGACTGTGAGGGGAACTGGGAAGGCAGAAAACTGACCTTACTCTGGTATTACAATTAAATGATCTCAGCACACCTCCTAAACTCATGTGCATGCCAGCTTGTGCTATGGTTTGGGACCACCAAAATAAGTAAGACTTCATCGCTTGGCTTTGACTCAGGTCTCTCTTCATACACACTGCAGGCTATGCTCTGATGACTTCCTAAGACCCAGCCTTGCATACAGCCAGCCCTGGAAGACCTTTCCTCCACAGGGCCCCAAGGCACGCCAATGCTCCCATGTTTCTTCACCATTCACTCTGGTTTCTATGGTTCTCTCCCCAGAGAGGTTGTCCCACACAAAATTATCCAACAATTTAAAAATATGTCTAGGGGTTAGCCGAGCGGCGTGTTGGTTAAGAGCTGGCTTTGGACGCCAGCTCTGAGCAGCAGGGCCCCGGTTCAGATCCCACATTAGGGTCAGTGACTGCGCCCTCTACAGCTAAGACGGTGAACAACAGTTCTACCTGGAGCTGGGCTGCCGTGGATCACCAGCGATGGCGTAGGCTGCAGCCCCTGCAGCAGTGGGCTGCCGTAAGCTACTGTGAGTGGCCGGCAGCCAGCGTGAGCTGCCAAGAGCCGCCATGAGCGGCTGTCCAGTGGCCGGAGACCAATCTGCCTCACCCGGGAAGAGTGCAATGATAATACCAACATGTGCCAGTGAAGTAATGTCCACAACTAGACTGAAGAACAAAAAAGGATAGCAACTTGTCTGTTCCCCCTCCCCGATTCCCCAATAAAATCTTTAAAAAAAAAAAGGTAAGTCTAGGAATGATTTTAGTCCTTTTGCTCTTGCTGCGGGTGCTTTAACTCTTTCTATCCTCCCTTCCCCACACCAAGACCCCCAGTAATACCAAGCTATTCAAAAATAATAAATTAATCCAAAGCAATTGAATCTGAAGAATGACTTAACACTTGACCTCTAAGTACCTTATAGGGTTGTGTGTGGGTGTGTAGTACATGAGTAGGACTCAGATTAAGTAATTATATGAAAGCCCAAACCCTATACAAAATATAGTTACTATTATTCAGGTGTTAGTCTCTTCTGAAACAGCCCAAAGGTATATGATTTTTGGAAAGAACTATACAAGGAAAGGTCAAGGCTCAGGCTAAAAGAACAAATGCCTAATGCGAACTTCTAGGCACTGACACCTACAGAAAAGAGGTATTTGGGGGCAGAGGTGTCTTCCTGGTGTTCTTCAAATCACAGCATACAAGTAACCCTTTATAACCTTCTAAAACAAACACTGAAGGCTGGACCTGAATCCCTCCTCTGACTTGAGGAACCACTGCTCTAGGACAGTACTAAATACTCCACCTCTTGGCACTTGATCATACAGCCTGCCTGGATGGTCTCAGGCTGCTTCACTGTATAAAATCCTCTTTCCCCTGTTCCAACCATAAACTCTTTGAGGGCAGAAGCCATTATTTGGCGCTCATAGTACACTAAAGCAACTTAAGTACTTAAATACCGGGGAGACTAAACTGAGACTACACAGTTTATAGGAAAAATCTAATTGAATATGCATTAACAATCAAAAGACTTTTATCTTCCATACAAATTACTTCCCAAAACCCACATGGTTCCCAGTCACCACAGGTTGGTCCCTAATCCAACTCTCCTCAAGCTGAATGCAACCTTAACTCTCTCTCTCTCTTCTTCCTCTTCCATCACCTTCTCTAGAACCACCACCCCAGTCCTAGTGGCCCCCAAAACAAACTGTGCTTCACCTTTTCTCTCTCTTTCTTAATTGGGGAACAATGTTTTTTTGCAGGACCCATGAGCTCCAAGTCAAGTAGTTTCAATCTAGTTGTGGAGGGCGCAGCTCAGTGGCCCATGTGGGAATCAAACCCGCAAACTTGGTGTTACGAGCCAATGCTCTAACCATCTGAGCCAACTGGCCCCCCCCCCCTTTATTTTTCTTTTTTGCAGTTATGACTGTATTAGAAAACAATATAAGCTGCCGTTGGAAAAGCAAGCTCTTATATTTCAGAATTCCTACCCCTGACCCAGCTCAGGGGGTGCCACTCGGCGGTACCCAGGCTCACGGGATAAATGTGGCCCACCCCCCCATGGAGTCGATTTTCCTCAAGAGTTGGAAAAGAAGGCTTTTTTACATTGAAGTTTGAGTATTTTAAGGGACATGACCCAAAACTCGCCACTGTTTTCAAAATAAATTCGAGCAAGTTCACGCCCTTGGCGCAAGTTGAAGCAACTCCGCCTCCCAGTTCCGCCGCCGGGGCTGGGCCCGCGGGACCCCGAGCGACGCACACGGGGGTGGCCGCGTCCGCTCCCCAGACCAGTCGCCTCCTTGCCCCCCAAACCCCAGCTGTCCCTCACTTCCTTCTCCGCCCACCTCCCGCCGTGCCCCTCTCCCGGGCTCTGTCCCGCAGCCCAGACTCGCGCCCTAGCTCGCCGCCCGGGCCTAGGCCGCCGTCAGAGGCCATCTTTCCTCCCAAACGGTCCCGCCTTCCCCGCAGCGCCTCCCACCTGACCCCCCAACCGTTCGCACCGGGCCTCCTCTCCCCCAAACACCTTCACGTCTCCCTCCTCTTCCCCTCTCCACCTCCGCTTTTCCATTGACCCCTCCGGCCCGGCCTCCTCCAACTCTCCCCCCGCTCACCTCGTTTCCATCCTCCAGCAGCAGCCGCTCGGCGTTCATGCCCACCCGCCGCAGGCACCAGACCCAGCCACCGGCGCGGCCCCCCATAACCAAGGAGCCGGGCTCCCCCATGGCCCACGCGACACTGGTTCGCGGTCAGCACAGAGCCAGACCCCGCTCCGGGTACCCGCCGCCTTGCAGCTTCTCTGACGGCGCCATGACCAAACAACAGACGGAAGCGATTGCTACGCGCTCGCGATCGGGGCGAACACTCGCTGGGGCTCCGCGCCCATCCCGCCCCAGGCCAGCAAGCCGCAGCCACTGCGCCTGCGCGAGAAGAAGGCTGAGGCCCGGCCGGCGCGAGCGAGAAGGGAGCTAACCCCAGGTGGTGTGCAGGCACCTGGGCCCAGGTGGGGCGGGGGTCGGGCGAGGCACTCCCAACTCTCACGTCACACCCTCCTCGCCCTCTCTAGAACGACCACCCCAGTCCTTGCCTCCTGAAAAACCAACTCTTAAATAACTTTGAACTTGTGGCAATTTTTAAATGTTGTCTGTTCCTAAATAGCATCTATTTTGCATGACCTTTTACTACTGGATTAGGAAAAAAGAGAGGAAGAAACTTATACTAGGCAAATCTATCCAGGCAGAAATCAGTTAACTTGGGGCTAGGTGTGGGAGCAGGGATGGAATGCAAATAGACTTGAGAGAATTTTGGAAGGTGATAGAAATGTCTAAAACTGGATTATGGTGATGACTGCACAGTTGTACACATTTACTAAAAAGTCATTGACACACACATGCACTTCTAGTGGATGAATTTTACGGTATGTAAACTATCCTCAAAGCTTTTAATTAAAAAAAACTTGAAAAAGAAATAAAGAGATGAAAAAATATATTAAAAAACACAAAAAAGAAAAAAACCCTCAAACTCTTTCCTTTGATTCTCCAATATAGTGTGGTAGCTGTTCCCTGTTGTGAGTCCCTCTTGTGATCATTCAATGCCCTCTTTTGTCTTTTCAATTTCCCAATACATAGTTAACAAATGTCTTACATTTTGTCAGGAGAAAATACATATGCTAAGTGAATCATAAAAAGTACATTAGTAAATGGCTAATGTTTATTGAAAGTTAAGTGCTGAGTATTGGGCTAAGCTCCCTACATTATCTTATTTGCTCCTCACTAACAATATAATTCTAGAGGTTACAATTATAATTTCTACTTTAGGGATGATGTGAAAAGAGGCACAGAGAGGTTTAGTAATCTTCCCAAAGCAACACATTAAATGGTGGAGTAGCAAGCCAATTGAGATCTGTCTCCAGAACCTAATTTCCTAACCATGGTTGCAACTCCAGCCTGGAGCATTTTAAATGTGTGGCACTGTCAGATGAAGAATTTTGGCCTGTGATGTCACAAAGGGTCGGGAAAATTAGTGGGTGCCCTAACTGCACTCTCACACAGATGATTCCCTAAGCTTTGGAATTGAATCTGTTGGTGCCTGTACCCTACCTTAGTGTTCTGTCCCAGGAACAGCAAGTGCACCTAGAGGCCATCCTGACATTTACCTGGCATGCCTCCTTAGCCTCTTCTTGGCTGTGACTGTTTCTCAGACTTTTCTTGTTTTTGATGACCTTGGCAGTTTTGAGGAGTAGTGGTTAGGTATTTTGTAGAATGTCCCTCAACTGGGATGTCTCTTATGTTTTTCTGGTGATTAGACTGGGGCGATAGGTTTTGAGGAGGAAGACTACAGAGGTAAAATGCCATTCTCATCAGATCATATTAAGGGTAAAAGTTATCAACACCAGTTATCACTGTTGATGTTGATCACGTGGCTTAGGAAGTGTAAAGTTACTCTTTTTTTTTTTTTTTTTAATTGGGGAATTGGGGGGATGGGAACAGTGCTGGGGAATTGGGGGAAGGGGAACAGACAAGTTGCTGTCGTTTTTGTTCTTCAATCT